ACTTTTGTTAAGATTAAGAGAAAGGTGCTTTTATCTTATTATTTAATTTTTATTTATATTATTACATATTGTTAACTACATTCTTTATTATATTTATTTATTGAAAAATTATTTCAATTTTAGAAAAAAAATATATAACAACAGACTAGAAATAATTTAATTTAGTGTGAGTAGAATGTTATTTTTTTTTAAATTATTTTTCAGTACTTTCTTGAAATGATAATCCTATTTAGAAGTAAAGTCTGAATAAAGCCTCAGATACTGAATATTTGTGAGCTGAACTTTTGTAAATATTATATGTTTGCGATTCTATAATATGCATTGAAAATGTAAAATATACGTTCCCAAGCATTATAAAAAAATAAATAAAATAACGAAAGTTTTAAACGAGATCACATTATTAATTACTAAGATAAGAAATGTAAACTGCTAGTAAAAATATATTTCCTAAATGTTTTATTATCATGAGTAAAATTATCTAAATTTATAAGACTATGTTGCATATCTTTTTTACTAGCATTTTTCTTTTACTACGAGAAGCATAAACGGCAATATGATGTAATTGAAGAGTTATAAAATGTATGAAAACAATGCTCACTATAAATCTCGATGATGCGATCAACTGATCACGATTTATTTGTCGGATGTGATAAACGTGCATTCTATTACGCGCGGTCTACCATTAAATTTATGAAAACGTGATACGCGATCGTAAAACAGGGGATCAGAGATTTAAATTTCCATGTACGAACTAATCATCTTCTCAAATTCCTCAAGGCAAGATAGTTTCTACAAAGTTTTGCTACCTGTTGCCCAGCTTCCGGAGCCAGAAGCGTCTACTGGTATTTCACTTTTTAAACCCCTAATTATACTCGTGATATAGTTCGTTGAGTTTTTACGTAGCGTTGAAATTTCTAATTAGTAGAAAAATACATAATAATTTTTGAAAAAAGATATTGTTATGTATTTATAGCTGTTAATACATTTTGAGTGAGTTTACACAAAAATAGTTGATTAACAGCAATAAGAGAGAATTTTCGAAATTTATATACAATACATAAAAACAATTAATTAAAAGTCCAGAAGAATCAGAAAAATTGAAATTGTTTGAAAAAACTTTATACAAAAAAAATGACGAAAGTTGATCACTTTTTACTTGGATATAGGAAAGAGATAATCACGAAGGTGTGTGTTTTTAACAGAGACTCGTCTCTTTATGGTTTGCGTGATTTAAAGCAAAAAATCTGGACAATTAGCAATCGTGTAGTGAGAGAAGACTCGCAGGAAACGATTCAGATCACGTTTCGGATCGAGTAAGCGAACACTTTAGATTTTTCACTCCGTTGAGCGTTCTGCGACGATTTATGTTCTACGAGCAATTAAATACATAGAGTGTGGAGTGTTAGCTAAGATGTATATGTACGTATGTATTATGATTGTATGTGTTACTCTCTCTGGCGTTAATATAAGAAAGTTAATCGAAGAAAGGGAGTACATGATAGTATATAATAGTCCTAGAAATCTAATTAGGCCAATTGTTTCGATCGATCTCAGCTTCTTACGGTACGTACGATGATTTGTTTCGATTTGCTTCTTTGCTACCGCTATGTATAATAAAATCAAATATAAAGTTAAATATTGAAAAATGTTATTTTAAGATATAATCAGAATCTTACAATAAAAATATTTCAAAATAAAATAGTGTATGACATTTTAGAATACAGAATTGCATTATTTCAGTACATAATTTCTAAGCATAATTATAAATTTTTGAATATATGATGTATGTATATCACAAGATATTTAAGCATTTTTTCTTTTTCTTTAACGAATACTATATATTTAAAAAAATGTTTTGATGTTAATTATACGTGCACCTTATACAGAGGTACATATATAATTAATTATGGATTGTACTTATTCTACAACAGCTGCACCATACAGAGTGTCAATAACTATATACGGATGCGATATCACAAGACTTCAGGATTGAGTTAGTGTCGTATGTACCGGAAAGAGACGAAAAGCGAATGTGAAGAGGATGGTATACGCGACGAGAATGCGCAATGTAACTGGCGACCGCGCAAAAATCCTTAACTCCTAAGAACGACTTAGGATTCCCTTCATTTCTGCCATATATGTACATGTGTACAGAGAGTGCGATGAACGAACCTGTGACCTCAACGAGGTCTCTTTATTGCCTACTCGACATCAGCATTTTCAGTCATATCAAAGAATAATGAAACAAAACTACTAATTATTCTTTACTTCCTCTCCATTATTTAATTAATGTGCACACTTAATTAAATTAAAGGAATTGTAGGAGAATCTCACAATTACAATAAAATCCTGATCATCTAATTTCTTTTGAGATAAAAATAAGTTACATGTAGAAGAGACACGCAACTGGGTTTTTATTAAGATGTAAGAAATAATATCCAAAATAAATCTTCATGGCAATCGATTCTCTCGTGTATCCTCGATATTGAGAAACGCAAAGAGGTTACTGTGCTGTAAGGGTAACGCGAGAGAAATGCGGCATACTTAGAGAATCGTGATATCCAGTGAGATAAACGCGATGAATTCGCGACGTCTAGTTTAATGCGAAATCTTGCGTCGAAGATTTGCTAAAAATCAACTATGATGTGATTATCATAAAAAGTATAATCGAATTATTAAAGTGTCAGAGATACGATTCCAATTTTTTTAATTCTTCGTTTAATTCGGATTTTCATTTTGAATGAAAATCATTCTAAAGCAATTAATAGAAATTATGGATAATACACAATTAATATTTTATAATTAATTTTCTAATTAATTGTCATTAAACTGAAATTTATACAACTGTCTATATAATTCTGCAAACTATATCATTAGTTATATATATCGATGTACAGAGATTAATTGATGAGATTGATTGAGAGTAATTGATGATAAATTAGTTTTATCAAAATTAATAGAAAACTAAGTAGAGAACTGTTTAATACAAAGTAACAAGATATGCAATTTATTCTTATTTCATCATTATAACTATGAATAAGTTTAGTTATTCAAATAAAATTTAGAAATTTAAAAATAAGATTATTTTTCTTAATTGATTTATTCTCATTACTTCAAAATTTTACTTATAATTGTTTATAAATTTAATTTCGCAAGTTCAGAACACGTCAATTTTTAAGCAATGCATGTGCCTATCTTTCTCACATTTTTCTAAAATTTAATCGATCTATCAATAAGATAAAATTGTGTTACTATATATATAAAATTCTAATGTCTATATGTTCAAGAATTTAAGTTATCTTGACGATAAAATGCCATAACGTATCAGAGGATAACCTGATGCATATCGTATGCACTCAAAAAATATCGATAGATCCAGACGATTTCGTTGCAATTACTTTTCTTTCTAATCCTCTTTTTTTTCGATGATCCAAAGCTGTCGTTTCAATAATCCACGCGTAATGAATTTCTTTAAACTACATCACATCACTGTACCGAATCCGATTGCAAACAAAACACTGATGGATCACGATCGATTCACGGATAAAAATACAAACACGACACAAAACGCTGCGCATCCCAACGCCAACTGAGCGCGAATGCGCAAAGCGCGATCAACAACACTCGGCTTACGCCGTTACGGGGCCCGAGTGACGCTCTATCCTATTGGTCGACGACCCGAGATCTCGTGTTCCCGCCGCCATTCGGTTGCAGGTGCAGCGAGTGCACGGGATCACGAGGCTTGTCGACCAATAGAAAAGAGATCGGGCTGCAGGTGCAGCGAGTCCGAGGAACCGTCCATGCTACGTAAAACGCGCGCTTTTCAAACAAAACTCTCTTTTAGCCCTCTTTTTAACTATATTTAATTGCTATTAACATATTTATACTCATTGTATTGACATTCTATACTTTTTAGAACCTGTAAAATTTTTGTGAGATACTCGATATTTTTTCATTAGAAGTAAAATACTTCAAAATATTCTAATTATAAATATTTAAATCAATAATTTCTGCATGTTATTTGTTATTGAATTTTTAAAAATAAAATGTGCAAAATTATATAAGAAAATTATGTAAGAAAATTAAAAATAAAAATATCTTTAGAAGGTAAGTTAATAAAAAAATAGAGAACCTCTGTAATTAAAATATTTTCTTCTTAATGTAAAATTAAAATTTTCTAATTTTAATATTAAATATGTAATATATGTATAATTTAGTGTAAAGCGAATGTAAAAGTTAGTGGCTTTGTATCGAACACGTTGCCATATGGATCATCGCAACAGGTTCCGGGTAGATTCAAAGCTATTAGAGACTGCTGGCTCATGGGCCTAGTAATTGTTGATTAATTACGACCAATCATCTGTGCACCAATTTGCTCTGTTTCCACGCTGCTAACTGTATCATGCCTCGCTCGCGACCGTGACAGATCTGAACGCGTTAATTAGTCACTATCTACAATTACATAGCAATTATATAGCAGTGCTAATCGGCGCATTATCGTTGTGAAAACAAACAATTGCAACAATAAGTAAGGAATATAAAACAAATTTAGACCGATGAGACTAAAGCTAATTAAATGAGAGAAATCCTATATGTGGATCTTAGAGTGCTTAAATACATATTTCTTGTATGAATTTAATAATTTATATACATGCCGACTCTGCATATCATGCATCGAAATCTTTTTCTCTGATAGTCTTAAAGCATTCATAAACAGAATTAGAATAGTAATATTATTTATTAAATTGTATAAACAATTTTATAAATTTTATGCTAATAAGAGCAACTTTTACAAAAATATTAATCGTTATATGTTAAGAAAAATCTAAAAAAACTGCGATTAATTTATTGCGAAAAATATCACTTCGGCCAGGTTTTAAATAAGTGAGGAATAAGTTTTAATACTGGCGTACAATTCATATTCATGTGAAATTTGAATAACACACAGGTTAAATTCATAAATCGCACGTGTTTAAATTCGTAAAGTGCCATGTACTTACATTTGTAGAAAGTTGACTGGTTAACGAATGCACCTTCTCCTGAGCGTCCAGTAATTCACGACGCAATTTTCTCAATTCATGCGCCTGCTTCTCCTCAGCCGAACTATAAAGACTGCTCGTAGTGGACACCAAGGATACCGAAGAACCATGAACTAAAACGAACACGAAATTATTCTTACTGCATGTTTACTAATTCCAAGTTTAATTCTAAAATTAATTTTCAAGGAAATTTTTTTAACTTGAGAGTTTCAGATTTTAGAAACTAAATTAATTGTATATACATTCTTACGTAGTATTATATACTTATGTAAACATGTATGTATAAGTAATTTAGATTCTAAATTCTTTTTTATACGATACATAAAAATTAATGCGTTGTATAATTTTATCTCTTTTTTCTCTTAATTGTTATATATATATTATTTCTTCTCTTTTTTTGTACTCTATACTAAAAATATGTTAATTATAATCCGCTGTGAGACTATAGTCTATTTTGTATAATATAATATTAAAAAAGATGCAGTGCAATATTGATTAATCCTATTTTTGTAAAAAATTCAATTATAAAAGTTACGTTAAAATCGATATCTTTAAGTGTTTAAGAAAATGTACTACATTCTGTACTTCATGATGCAGGCACTCACTGTCGTCGTCCTTATGTACGTGCTGGTACAAGTTAGGCGGCTGCCGTGAGGTGTGCGTGGGCGTCGGTGACGTTGGCTGGGACCAATGTTGGCCGGTGCATCCCGCCGATCCCACAGGAACGCTGTAATATGGCTCGACTCCAACTCCCATACCCATCCCGACTTCCTCACCCACCGACGATGAGGCGCCGCTTCCGCGTGCCAACATTGACGGATACATCTTCTCGCTCTTAGTGGATCTGTGAAAACACAAGCGCGGCATGTTCTTTAAATTTCTCTCAAGACATCTCCAAACAATTGTTCAAACTAGACCGAAAGGATCATTTTTCAGCTTGAAATATTTTATTGATACCGCGCGACATAGTTAATCAATATACAAAGTTAAAGTATGTATGATAGAAAACATTATCGTAGACTTTTTAGAATAATATTACAAAGAATATTGTATATTTTTAATTACAATAGTCTATTCTTGTTCTAGATCTATTTTTTTTACTACTATATACTTTGTCAAAGCATATTCTCGTTTTTCAAACCAGTACTTTTATTCTTTTTTTTTTTATTTAGATTCAATATTTCCGTATTTCAAATTGTTTTAAAAATACTTCAATGGAACTGATTGTTAAAATATAGAATTAAAATATAATTTAGAATATTATTCAAATTACAAGTAAATTTTTACAGTTGGAAAGCGATATTTATGTTCCAGAAAATTTATTCCCGACTCGAGGAAGAGTCAAGAGTACTAGTCGTATGTTGTTTGAACCAACAGAAGAGGATTTCGAGTGTCTTGGATAGTCGACAACGAGAACACGCTTGTCTATTTGCCGAGTGTGCACGTAATTAGCCGATCCTGGAAGGGAGCTCTAATTAAAAAATAAGCTTGCTACCACTCAACAAGAAGTCAAGGATCATTTCGAGACGGTTTACAGAATTGCGCACACTCGATCCCGCAGGAATCGAGCGAGAGCTATCGATCCGTATCGTCTCGGTTCAAATTCATTATCATTGTCAATAGTTTTTATTTCAATATTGTTCGTTTAATCAAATAAATAGGATTACCTTCCAAGAGTTGTGTAATACTTCTACAACGATGACAAGTAAGAGAAATGAATATGTAACGGATACATAGCTCCTGATTGCTCGGCCCGGAATATTGATGAAGCATCATCGCGCATGCATACTGCACAAGCAACACTATCGAACGACGAACTTTAGCAACAATAGGCAACGTAGAATCTGCCGCATGAATAACTATCAATACATTTCGAAAACGCGTAGAGCACATTTGGTGAATTATATTTGCGTGGTTGCGTGAGTCCTGCAATCCTTAGAAAACATAAAATTTGAGGATTCGAACATTTCTAAAAATTAAGAATTCAAAGATTTTAAAATATATGAGATTCTCTTGATTCTACAGACTTTAAATATTTTATTAAATCTATGACTCTAGATTTCTCGAATTTAGATCCAAAAATCTTAAAGATTAAGAATCCAAAGATTATAGAATCCATAATTTTTAATAGAATCCATAATTTTCTAAATATTTTAGGATTTATATATTCTATGTTTTAAAATTTAAAGATCCTAGAAATCAAGAAAGCTTTCGTTATCTATAATTTTTAATTTCAGAAATAAAAATTTTTTCTATTTTTTTCTTTTTTCTATTTTTTTAAATTAAAAAAATTTTTATTAATTTTGAATAATCAGTCTAGTTAGTAGCTAAAATATAATGACAATTGTGAAGGCTCTTCGAATCCACGGATTCGGTTAAAACCGAACTTTTCAGGTAAACCTTTTCAGTGCTTGTGAAAGCAATTTTTAAGTGTGTATATGTATTGGACCTGTTCATATTTTTTTTTAATACTTATGCATAAAAAATAGGCTCGTTGAGTGTATATTTTCGCACTACCTTGGGAATGTCCTGTCCCGTAGATAGCTAAAAACGTTTAATCAAATTATCCTCGTTATTTTACATCGAATCGATTAATCAAAAAATAAACAAGAGAAAAAAATAGTTGGAAAAAGAAAAAACTATTCGTTGTTCGAGAGAATAAATGCTGAAGACATTCTGAAAATGTTGCAGCTATGCATCATTTGTGATTCCCAAATTCCTCGAACAATCGATTATCTTAAATTTTATAAAAACATTCTGCAATTATATATTTAAAAAATATTAACTAAATTAGAAATGTATTTAAGATATACGTTATTTGATTTTAAGTTTTGATTTTTTTGGTAAAACATTTATATTGAAAATATAAATATTTTTTAAATTTTAGATTTAGATATTATAGTGGAATTCTTTCGTACTTATAATACAATGTAATACAAAAATATTAATATTATTAAAATAAAATATTATATCAATAGTTCGAAGATCTTTTGAGGATACAGATACAAGAAAATGGAAACCAATGAACATGATGTGACATGCTGCGAGTTTTTTACCTGATAGAGTTGCTCCTATTTAATCTGGGTGGCGCCGGGGATCCTGTAGAATCTCTCTGGTGCATTAGGAGACGGGCATGTGTCAAGCTCGCACGATGCGAGCCCAATGATTCCACGCTATCTGCTTCGCACAAACCCATTCCTAAAAGATCGTTGTAGTTTCAAAATAAAAATAAAAAGTATATAAAAAAAGAAATTTTTAAATACAATAAATTATTAAAGTAAAATGTAATACCGTTAAATATATACATGCAATACAATATATATATGTTTTTCATGTGTAATATAAAACATTTTTAATGGCGATAATCTATGCTAATCATATAATGGGTCGAATAAATTAAAAATAAATTCTCTTCAATTATATATTTATTTAAAAAAATATTTTCTAGTTAAATCAATAAGTTCTCTTTTTGTTTTGTTATACATGTATTCTAATTAATAACTAAAATCATTTTAATTAATTTATGATCTTAGGTTATAATATTTTAATCGGAGATATTACCTTGAGATCTTCCGCTGGGTGTATAAGTATTGCTGTGTCTCATCCATGAAGTGGTATAGGGACTATTGGGTGTGCCATAGTAGCCCTGAAGATCAGGTGCGGCGTAATTACTGCATGTGTCGCTGAGACTACCATCAGATGGTTTTAATACCCGGGGCGAAAATGACGCGCTCGTTGGTCCAACGCCAGCTCCTCTCTCGCGATGATGGGCAGACGCAAAAAGAGCGGTGAATTCTGGACTACCAGGTTTTGGCAGGCTTTGTGAGCCCAGCATAAGACGATCTCGAACTGACTGTGAAAGTTGACTAGCGCTAGGACCGGTGAGGCTATAGCTCTTGTAGTGATGACCCTGATTTGATCCCGAGGAATTCGCTTGCAATTCTGTGGTGCACGTTTGTGTGCCACCGGACACCTTGACCTGCATCCAAACAAAGAACTTGGACTTAATCAAACTTAATTTCTTCTATATGACTTAACATATCTAATTATAAGCTAAACTGAAAAAAGTTATTTAATTTTTTTAATTAAATCTCAAGTTAGTTTTAAGATGCTAATAATAAAATTTGATTATTGAATCAATTTTTGTATTTAATCATATTATAAGTTGCTTTAGTGATTGTTGAGTATTTGTTCTTGCTAAAATTAAACCTTGGAATAATAATAAGCTTAAAAAAAAAGATTCTAAAAATCGAGTGAGATATGATAGAATTTTTTAGAAATTCTTGCATTACCTTAGTCCTTGGCACGGCGCTGACTTGAGCCGTTCTGGTAGCATCTTTGCTGCCATTTTGGACGCCATTGGGACTCGAACTAGTGCCCGCACTGTGTCTCTTAACGTAGCCAAAGCTTTGTGGTACCCCACGAACTTTGCTACTGTTGCTGGTTGACGTGCCCGACGAAACCTTTTGAGGTTTCTCACCATTCGCATATTCAGCCATAGTCTGTTTCCGATGTTTATCCTGCGATGTTTAAATTATACAATTACTATGTATACAATTATTATTAATATTACTAATAAATTAAAATGTGTGGATAAATATTATTATATATAAATAGAATAAAAGCTATTTTTAATTTTAATTAAAGACTATAAATCTACATATATATTACACTACATAACTATTCTATTTCCTTAATATAATAAAAATCATTCGACTATTAGTACAATATTCAATTCATTAGTAAATAGAATCGCCAATTTTAGCGATTCTATTTATTAATATGAATTGAATTAAATCAATTTACAATGAAAATATATATAGAGAATTTACAGACCAAAGATTCCAATATTTTTTTGGAGTATCTCACCTGCGACCTTCTAGAAGGACTAGGGCTGGGTGGTGCGCCCTCCTTGTCTCTCTCTCTTGCGGCACCAGCTTCGATGTACTTCTTCCATTGTTGACTGTTGGAACTGATACTGCTGCTAGAGCCGTTTGAGCTTTGCTGCTGCTGCTGTTGCTGGTGTTGCTGGTGCTTAAAAGCCGAGCTCTCGGTCTGCTGAGAGCTGTCGGACTTTTTCACATGCGGATGATGACCACTAGGATGTCCACGTGAACCCACCACGCGGTACACCAAATTGTGACTGTTACTCTGCTGCGCCCCTTGGGGGGTGGCCGATCCTCCGCCACCCCCCACAATCACACCCCCTCCGCCCGGCACTCTCTGTGTATCATAGAAATATTGATGTATGTTAATCATGTATAACTTATATATATTTATAATTCAGAATCATATTTTAACGAATTATCTAAATTTTTAATAAAAAAATTCCATAAGGAAATTATTTCACATACACCCACACACACTCACGCACACACGTACGCATGTACGCACACATGTCTTCTAAAATACATTATAGTAAATTGTTATATACATTAAGAGATATTAAACAAAATAATATAATATAGCAATTTTGATTTAATTATAAGAAAAATTTGTATTTAATTATAAGAAAAATATTCGTCCTGGAATATATTTTTCTTAAAATTAAATATTAAAAATAGTAATTATCTAAAATGAGATATTTAATTATCATCATTTAAGTCCAACCAAGATAAAAAATTCTCAGCGATAAGTACCAATTCCTAAACTTGTCGGAACCCTCATAGCATGATTCAGAACATGGACGCCATTATGACGCGACGCTACAATTTTTATCAAAATTCTTATTTTCTCGATTGTATATTCTTGCCTTCGTGTAAAAATGATACATATATTGAAACGATATATATAATTATTAAGAAAAAATACGATTCACTTTTATATTTTCATGAAGAATGTAAATGGAATAGAGTAAATTATTAAAAAATAAAAATTCCAGGAATGTAGAAATGCAATAATTTTTCCAATATTATTGATAATTAAAAACTTAAAGTTTCTTAAGAATTTGAAAATGTATCTAATTGATAGTCTAAATAATATAAGAATTTCTAGAAAATGCAGAATAAAAAATAAAAAATCTTTGGACACACACCAAAATGTTCATCAAGACGAAACGAGGGTGTGTACCCTTCCCCCATCTTTCTCCATGTGGAATCATGGGTGACTCACAGGGGTGAGAAGCTCTTTTAAGGCGAGAATCGTAAACGTACGCATGGAGGAAAGGACATAAACGTGGGACAAAGAATCCGCGAGTCAAATACATTTGTTCAGTCGATTTTTGCAAATAAGCACTGATTATTCATATTCTATTTATTTTTCAATCATTTGTCTTTATTTAAAGAAAAAAATTAAAAACTTTAATTATATATCTTTCTTTCAGTAATATTAAATTTTTTTTTAGTCAGAAATATTAATTTATGAGACAAGGATTTTAATGATTCAAAAATTACTTTTCTTTACCGATCTCTGAATTCGGCACTTTTATATTTTTAACATTTATTTTCTTTATTTTTATTTCTTTATTTATTATTTTTCTATATTTAATATATTTCTACTTTCTCGCAATATTTATTTTTTTTATTAATTTTTAAAAATTTATCTCTTCTATTTTCTGCCATTTATCTCCTTGTTAGATTTGCTTATATATTTCTATTCTTGTTACATTTAACTTTATTTTTCTGTTTCATTGAATATTCCCTCTTTTTTCTATTTTCTACATTTTCTCATCTATTTTCTAATTCTACTTTTCTTATGCGTTTTACTTCTTTTCTATTATCGGAACATATCGTATTTTTATCCTTTAAATTTTTTTTAATTTATCGTTTTTTCGTATTGAAAAGCACATACCAAGTATAATCAACCACATCGACAAGAAATAGCAAACATTTGCATGTCTTTGAGATACGCGAACTGAGCGCGAGAGTCCAAATAAACAGGGCGCGCCTCTTCTGAATAGATAGCTTTCCAAAATTCTTTCACGATACGGCCAAGGTTTATTTTCCGAAATCGTCGACGTGAAAATATCCCATTTTTATGATTGCAAAGCATGCACCACAGAAAGACGATGTGCCTTGAGTGGCGATCGAAATAATATCAATTCGTCTCAAGGATAATTCTCGAACAAAAGATGATTTTTCTTTAATGGTATTATATTATTTAATCGGCAAAATTATATTCTCGATAAGAAATTATAATAAGTACAATTGTATGAAGAGCATTCACAAATTATCTCAAATAGTTTAATTACTCTTAATTGAGAAAAAAAAATTAATTTCTAATTATAAAATTAATATAGCACAGAAATGAATAATTGAAAAAATAAGGAATTTTTTGAAATGTTTTAAAAAACATTAGTGTTATTTCGTCTTTCATTTTATTTTTTGAGTAATTCTAAATTAGAAGAATTACTTACCATTTTTTTCTTCCCTGTAGTGGAAGTTTGCAAATTCTGCTTATCTTTCACAAATGAGAAACATTTTCTCTTCTATTGTAATTTTACTTTATCGTTCATTATTTCGTTAAATGGCTGTTTTTTCCCTTTTTTTTTAAATTCCTAATTTTTACTATTTTCATTTTTAAATGGAAAAAGTAAAAATATTTTGTTTATGCGAATGTTACATTTGGTATAAAAATATTTTTTTAAAAAGCTCTTCCACACATTAATTTAAATTATATATTAATTAATTAATTGACTTAATATAAAGTACCTTTCTTAAAGTAAGATTTTACAAGATCTTTTTTTCTCTTACGCATGTCAAATTTATCTTTTTATTTATTAATTTTCATATTATTACAATAGATAGCAACTATTAATTAACATTCTTCGCGAAATTAGTACATTACAGCTAATTAATCGATTGATGTTATTCTGAGTCTATCTAAACCACACTTACGAATTAACACATTGATATCGATTATATATGTATACATATAGTAATTAATAGACTCAATGCAAGCTCATTACATAATTTTCCCTATGGGGAAATTAGGAATGTTCCTGTCAACGATGACCCTCGATCCGTTTCTACTATAATTTTACATCTCATTACGAGTACTGATATCAATTATTATATATCAATTATTATATGTTAATTGATCTCGCGATGATATATTTATAAGTATTTATAAGTATTTTTAGGTTGGAAAATTTTCTACAAATGTATTTTTTAAATATTTTGTAAAAACTCGATTTAATAAATTTATATTATTTATACGCGAGATCCTATCAATATTTAACCGAAAAATATTAATTTTTTTATCAATTTAAGTCAAAGTTGAAAATGTTATAACACTTGAGAGATTTTTTTGTCATATTTATCATCATCTTGATAACTGTTATATTACGTCTGACATTAATCCGTTAATTAACTTTTTTTACTCGATATTTTTTCCTTTTTTATCTCTAGAACAGTTCAAGGAGTAAATTCTTTACTTTATTACTCACATCGCCATTTTCACTTTTACAAAGATATACTTAATATTACTCCAATTAAGACAATTTACGTTCACTGCAATTTTCACTCCGAAAAATACAAAGGGTAGTGCTTTATCACCCCAGCGCCTTTGGATTACGGTTCCGAAACGTAACGTAGTACGAGGTATCCGAACGTTAACTGCCAACTGCGAGGGTCGACGATCCATAGCTCACTAGCCCTCTCGCCCCCACTTCTCTGGCGCATGGTGTAATATTACTAACGGGAGGTACTCGCCCTCCCGAATCTGCACTTATGGGGTGCCACAGGAATAACGGTTTGACCCAAGTTGCGATAAGAGATTATGTTGATTTTGAGATATTTTGAGATTTAAAACACACATATGCACATTATTTAATATTTATGCAATTAAAAAAGTATAATATTTTTCGAAAATTATTGAGAATAACAAAAGACTTAATTTTTTCATTATCATTAGAATTAAGAATGTAATTTTTTAATTATCCAAAAGACACATTATGTACATACAGATATTGTATATCAAGATGTATTTAAATTGTATTATATATACCGATTCAAATTTCGCAAATTATATTAAATATTTTTATAAATTCTTTATTCCAAAAAGAGCTATTTTTTTAAGAATAACATATTATGTTAAATGTTATGTATGTAAATGTTATGTGTGTACATAAATGTTATGTGTGTTAAATTATAGTAAAAATTGAAAGGGTTGTACTTCAGAAAGCATGGTGCTCTGTGAACTTATGTGCTTTAAATCACGGCTTAATCGACTTGATTTACGTCCAAAAGGGATGGAAAAGAGAAGCATTATCTTGGTCAGCGATAAGAAGATCAAGCGAGAGAGTCGGATTCCCTACGCTCCCATTTCCTTATCTCGAAGTGATTCGAAAAGGGTTGTTACATTGAGTACCATTAGCTTTCGTTCGAAATGGGCCTTATGCGACACTGAGCAAGTCGATAATTTAAGACCAGCGGATTAGAAAAAGGATTATCCAGGGACGAGAAAAGCATCTCTCGAAAAAAAGTTACCGCCGTTAATCTCTTTACTATATTATTCGCTACGAGGGAGATAAAAATTAAAAAAGAAATTAACAAAATATTTCGAATAATTATTAGTGTATCAAAATATGGGAGACAAGTGTAAAAAGTCTTACGTGAGCAGCATTAGAAATTAAATAAAATTACATAATATAATACAAAGAAAAGAGATATACGTATAAACCATTATTATATGTATATTGTATTATAACAATGATTTAATAAGACAAATTAAAATAAAATAATTTATACTTAGAAATTGTCGGCATTATTAAATATGGAAATTGAATATGACAAAGTTAAACAAATGCTTGCCTGTTCAAAATCTTCGAAATATGGAAATTGAATATGACAAAGTTAAACAAATGCTTGCCTGTTCAAAATCTTCGAAATATGGAAATTGAATATGACAAAGTTAAACAAATGCTTGCCTGTTCAAAATCTTCGAAATATATAAAAGCCCGATTAAATATATTATTTCATATTGTAATTCATATTGTAAGTAAAGCTATAAATATTTAATTAATGACTAGTCGAGCTCAGCGGGCACAATTCAGTTGTGGTAAGTAGCTCACTGAATAAAATTAAGGGAAACCGGGAAGGAACATTATTATTTCGTTATAATAATCATTGTTAAAAGAGACGTTTATATCGATATGACAGATTTCAAAGCTATTAAAATGGCCGATTTACAGTCCCACGTAATGCATGGATTAATGGATAACTAATAGATCGGCTTTTAATGGAAGGAAATATTATTATTGATGAAAGCCTATCTTGGTAAAAGATGCTTATTATCCTTCGGCCGTCTATATAAGGATTAATTCAACAAAAGTTTTTTCATCTAATTTTTAAGTGAACGTACAGAAAAAAATTTTTTCAAAGAGATAAATAAACGGAATTATTTACTGTGATATAAAGTCATATACTTTTGCGTAATTTTTTTTTGCTTTTAATTAAGGTATGATTTGAACGTAACGTAATTTTCATACAACAAATAATCTTGATCGATTAAATTTCCAGTTAAGCCTGAAGTCCCGTAGATATTTTTGTATAATATTGAAAGCTGCTTTGGTTCAATTTCTTTTTCCGTGAAAAAAGAGAGGCGGAGAGAAACAAAGAAGCAAAAGGGAAAAAGGAGCATTTATTATTTCGCTCGGCAAATATCGATTCTATTCGACGACGACCTGCCGTGACCTGGCTGCATAACTGCTTGCGACGCGTATAACTAATTTCTCTCGCGCGTTCTCTCTCTCTCTCTCTCTCTCTCTCTCTCTCTCTGTCTCTCTTAAATAATTTCCTATTTGATTTTTCATTTAAATTCATTAAAATCTAAAAATATGAATGGCATTTTAATTTCAAAGAGATTTACACATGTTTTAAATCAAGATAAAAAATTAAAGTTGATAGCTTTTTTCCCTAAAACCTATAAGATTATTTTAAATTTTAAATAAATAAATTATAATTGATAATAATAATATGTCAGCTTCCATTTTTGTTTTGTTTTATTACACACGTGCATATTTGAGAATTTATTTTAATAAAAATATTTCGAAGCGAGAGAGAAAAATATCGCAACTTGGCACACTCAAACAAGTCCTTCGGGATAAGGGACCGGAAATAAAATAAATAGGATAACAATGACGATAGAAATATCTACGTATAAAAATTTACAAAAGTTTGTGTCCTCCTATCGTCACAGAAGGACATAAAAGAATAATATGTTTTTCCTTATTTAAACAAGAATAAGATACTTTAAGTTTTAATCTTTAAAAAGATAAATAGATAATTAACAAAGAAGAGTCGAATACAACGCATAATTCAAAACATCAATAGATTTTAATTTACGTGATCACGTCTCATCTGTTGTGTCTGAATATATGTTTTAACATACGATTACATTTTAGATATAATTGAAGATTTCACTTTTAAAAAGATTCAAAAGGATTTTTATTATTTTAGTTTTAGCACAAAATCAATTTGGGTGATTACATTTTCATAACGCTAACTTTTATAATTCTATTTGTTAATTTTGTCTGTTAATTTTGGATTGCTAATTCAAAATTATTAAATCAGGCTTTTGTTAAGAAAAAAAGTATCGCATGCGATATAATAATAGAGGGAAAAAGAGTAGAAGCTTAAAAATAGTGCTTTGCAATGACCCGCAAATAAAAAAAATGGTTCTTTCGATAGTGGGACACCCAGTATGCGACAGCTGCACGATGCAACAGCTGACGCGCACACATGCTCCATGCTTTGTGACTCGATTGTTCTGTGTAGGTTTGTGAGATCACGCCTGTGCACACATCGCTTCTTGTCCTTCTACATCCATTTGAGCGTTAATTGAAAAGAAATTTCATATCGATCAAGAATATTGTGATAAAAAAATAAACCCTACTTCAAATAATTCCTAGATATAGAAAATTAATTAATACCTTTGATGAAACTTTAAATAAAAATTTTTTATCTTATCGAGAGATTTTCTCGTTCATTAAAATGTAAATGTTTTTTTCGGAAAATCTTTTTAAGTCATATTAAGATATTTTTGTCTTGTAGAAGACGTTACTCGGTTCTCATTAGAATGGCAAATTTTGTATTACAATATATGATAAATAATAATTAGATAATTCTGGATAAAATCATCATATGAATATCATTGTATATGATTGATTTGTTTCCAATGATCAATATTTGAAGATACGATAGTGTTTCGGCACTAAGCGTATACAAACACATCGTGGAATCTGTCAATTGTCCATCCATGATCTTAATAATTATCAAGAATATACCAGATGACTGTCAGCATCAGTCCATTTAGTCATCTAATATGCCAATGAGTCAACAATTGCTGGATTATTATTTTAAGAATTCAAAAGAGCAAATGCTATTTTCAAAAATGTTTTAATAATAATTCTGATAACTTAAAAAGAAGGAAAATTGATAAAAAAGAATATATGAAAAATATAACTCTATAAAAAGATTGGAAATGTTATTTCAATTTTTGTTTAATAGATTCTTTTTTAATTAATATTCCTCAATAATAAATAAAATAAATAATTGGAAAAATAAAAAAATAAAAAATTTTAAAATTATATAATAAAATTGAATTAAGATATAGTATAGATATTGAAAAACGAGAGAAAGAGAGAGAAAGATATGTTTGATTCAATTGGAAGGTTC